GGTGGAAATGGGGATTTTCAATGCTTTAGCTATATTTTTTTTACAGCCACTTTCTATTTTGTGAAGCTCAACAATCTTGTTGAACTATATTCTTTGGTTTTATGCCTTGTGATGGATGATTAAGGGAACTTGGCCTTTGTGTTCCTCATAAGCAATTTAATGCTCACCCTGGTGTGCTGAAAATGTAAATATGAATGGGAATATACTTCAGAGATATTTTAAGAATTTCTAGGGGTGCCTATAATTGTGGCCAACATGCATTGGAGAAAAACATTTATTTCATAATGTGAGTTTCCCCACACTTTCAATGGTTTTAATTCAATGAACGGTTAGAATTTTGTTGAAAGAAAGATCAAAAAGATAAACGATGCAGATTTATTTTCACAGCCACCTTCACTCATATTTACCAAGCATGCCAATAATAGTGGAGGGCACTGTATGAGGGTATAAAGAGGGGGGCTACAAAAAAAAAATCCCTTTTTCAGGATGCTATATTTTTAAAGATAATTTTGTCAAATGCATACAAGCTTTACAGATCTTTATTGCAAAATACGCAAGCTGCGTAGGGCCCCTGAAACACCAGGGGGCCCCCTTGCTCTCAAAGATTATTTAATTTTAGTTTCGTTTTTGAATTTGGCCAGCGGTTATGAAAACATGAATGATCATTTCTTTTAATGCAGTGCGCTGTCGACCTTTCTACGTAAAAATCAGTCAAATCATGTAATGTCGTACAGTCTTGCTCGAGACTAAAAAAACGAGTTGAAAGCGTACCGAGCCGCGGAAGAGACATTGTTTCTCAAGCGCTTTCCGAGAGTGCGATTCGAGACGGAGTGAAACACGGACAAATGCGTTTCATTCATTCGTTCATAACCACTCATACCCCACTCCACCGCCCCCAGTTGCCAAAGAGACCTCACAGTTAATTTTGCACTATTCTCTTTGAATTATAAGGCAATTTTATACTAGAGAACTACAAAGCATTTCATTTTCTTTTTTTTCTGTTGTACTTCATAATTTTTGATCCAGTCATTTTGGGAGAGGTCTGTGTGTATAGCTGGGTTATGTTCTACAGTCATTTTATTCAGAACCAATTTGCTGGTATGTGTGACAGAAGAAGTCAGTTTCCCATTACTCCATAACCTCTCATCACATAATAATATAATAATAATATTAATAACTGACTTCTGGATCCAAACCTTACAAAGATTTGAGATGACTGAACACCGGAGAAGAGATGATGCCATCCCCTCAGAGGACCTCAGATGATGCCAACCCTGAACCAACATACAAAACGACCATATTTTGCTATAAGTTTGATCACAACATATAATCATTGCTGTTAATAGTGTTCACCGTTTGTTTGAATACATGTCATTAACGGACTGAATGATTTTTACTGTACATTTCTACCATATGGACATCACCTTGACATATTTATGGGATAATCTATGTAGTGAAACTACATGACAATATTTTACATGGTTTGATTCCTGAATACTGTTTCCGCCCACGAGGGGGCATTGTTGGGTCAGTAGAATAAATGAAGGCTAGTTGGGAGTCCAAGGGTGTTTGTGTGCTTTTTACTCACGCGTTAAACTAGGGAACACGACATGGTGTCAGAGTAGGATATTCTAATAAGCTGGCGGAAGAAGTTTGTTTCGGGGCAAGTTAAGCTTTATGAGAAGTGAAGTCGCGAAGTCATGGAACAAGCGGCAAGAGGACAACGTGCTCCAGGTGATGCAGCTCCCGGGGAGAGAGAGCCGCCCGCGCCGGGCCCGTATGCTACGTTCAGCATCCAGCCACCTGAGTAATTTAACTTCTCTAAACCTCACGAATGGGAACGATGGATCCGACGGTTCGAACGTTTCCGTCAGGCCAGTAATCTCCACACTTCCATGCAAGCCAGTCAAATAAATACACTCATGTATTGTATGGGCGATGAAGCGGACAACATTTTGAAGGGGCTGAATTTGACAAATGAAAACATGGAACAGTACGACGCAGTGAAGGAGGGTTTTTTTCTTCTTTGTGAAGAAAAATGTATTCTATGAAAGAGCATGTTTCAACAGGAAACAAGGGGAAAACGAACCAGTCGACTCATTCGTGACTGCACTGTACTCCTTGGCTGAGCACTGCAAATATGGGCCATTGCACAACGAATTAATCAGAGACAGGTTAGTCATTGGGTTGAATGATATACATCTGTCTGAGCGAATGCAGTTAGATAAAGATCTAACATTGGAAAAGGCCATTGATATGGCAAGACAGACTGAAGCAGTGAAGCAGCAGCAGAGTAATCTGCGTAGTAAGTGTGTTAAAGGGGTCATATGATGCGATTTCAATTTTTCCAATGTACATTATGTGGAAAATAATGTGTTTTTTTAACCTTAAACTGCATAAACACATTGCATTACACCAAATACACAAAATAATGTTATTTTTAGCAGCGTCATATGACCCCTTTAACAAAGCTCAACAAATCTGTGCAGAGGGAGAAATTCATTCTTCCCTCGGTTGAACAGACTCTGGGATTGTTAGCGGGAGCTAGCGTTTTTAGCAAGCTAGATGCGAACATGGAATTTTGGCAAATTCCACTAGCTGAGCAGTCTGCCAAGTTGACAACCTTTATCACACCATTTGGCTGGTACTTTTTCAAGCGTTTGCCCTTCGGTATCGCATCGGTACCTGAGCACTTCCAAAATCGTATGGTAACTGAAGTCACTGAGGGCCTGGACGGATTGGTCTGTCACATGGACGACGTGAGTGTCTGGGGATGTTCTCAAGAGGAGCATGATGTGCGTCTTCACGCAGTGCTCCAAAAGATGGAAACTGCTGGCGTCACCCTCAACTTAGACAAATGTGCCTTGTCACAGCGTGTAGTAAAGTTTCTCGGCCACATTATCTCAGACACAGGAGTGCAACCGGACCCAGCCAAGACAGCAGCGGTCCAGGAGATGCCAGAGCCAACAAATGTCAGTGAGCTCAGGAGTTTTCTTGGTATGGTCAACCAGCAGGGAAAATCCATTCCACACCTGGCGGAAAAAGATAAAACCCTCAGAGATCTTTTGTCCAAGAAAAACTGCTGGTTTTGGGGGGGAGAACAAGTCAAAGCTTTTAAGACCTTGAAGGAAGACTTGTCATCTGCACCAGTGCTGGCCTTGTACGATGCAAACAAGCCACTCAAAGTATCTGCAGACGCATCGTCGTATGGACTGGGAGCAGTCCTGCTGCAAAAAGAGGGTGGTGATTGGAGACCTGTTGCCTACGCGTCACAGCCTCTTACTCCTGTTGAGCAAAGATACGAGCAGGTAGAAAAGGAGGCCCTGGGGCTGACCAGGGCATGTGAGAGATTTCGTGACTTTTTGATCGCCCAACATTTTGAGATGGAAACTGATCACAAACCACTGTTAAGTCTTCTAGGTGGCCAGGAACTGGATTCCTTACCTCCCCGCATCCAACGGTTTCCGATGAGACTGATGCGCTATTCATACAAGATTTCTCATGTTCCAGGGAAGAGCCTATGGACTGCAGACACTCTGTCACGTGCTCCACTACCTGCTGACAAAGAAAACATGAATGATGAGCTCATGGAAAGCACTAACATTTACATGGAGAACATTGTGGAGCATCTCCCAGCAAGTCAATCTTTCCTGGACAACTTGAGAGAACACCCTTAAATCAGACAGTGTTTGCTCAAATGTCATGAGAATGTGTCAGGACGGGTGGCCCAAGTTCAGTCCTTGTACAGGAACTGAGAAGTTTTACTGGTCTGAGCGAGCTTACCTATCTGTTCACGACGGCCTTCTTCTAAAAGGTACAAGACTCGTTATTCCCTCTGCACTGCGGTACGAGGTCCTTGCCAGGCTGCACGAAGGACATCAAGGAGCAGTTAAATGTAGAGAATGTGCACGACAAAGTGTGTGGTGGCCGGGACTTAGCCAGCAGTTGAATGAACTGGTTCTGAAATGCCAAGTTTGCATTAAAGAGCGCACCAATCACACTGAACCACTGATTCCATCAGATCTTCCTGAGAGGCCCTGGCAAAAGCTAGGGAGAGATCTGTTTGTCCTGAAAGGGAAAACCTACCTTTTAGTTGTGGATTACTATTCACGGTATGTTGAAGTGGCAAATCTTTCACTCACCAGCTCTGCAGATGTCACTACACACCTAAAGTCTATCTTTGCACGCCACAGCATTCCAGAAATGTTAGTGAGCAATAATGGGCCACAGTTCTCATCTAGCACTTTCTCAGATTTTGCAGCTACCTATGGATCAAACATGTAACCAGTAGCCCGAAGCATCCACGCAGCAACGGCGAGGCTGAGCGGGCTGTACAGACTGTAAAAAACCTCCTCAAAAAAGCGCAAGATCCTTACATTGCCTTACTGTCATACAGGTCAACTCCACTTCACAATGGATACAGCCCAGCCCAGCTGCTCATGGGACGCCATCTTCGTACTATGGTGCCAACCATTCCTGTACTGCATTTGCATGCTTTGTTTAGATTGTCTCCACCTCTATGTATCCCTCCCCCTTGAAAGGTATAAACTCTACTGTGCTGAGCTATAGTCAGACTTGGATGGCTGCAGCGACGCACAGCGAGTCCTCAATAAAGAGTAACTTCTGCATGAAAGATATCCCAACGTCTCCTGGTCTCTGCATCGACGAGGAAAAAGTTTCCTACCGTTTTGGTGCCATGACCCGGATAGAGCTCCTCACCTGAATCCAGATTGAAACTTCAAGCTCAACAAAGATCTGACTTCGTTCCAGACTCTATCTCTATCTATCTGCCACTCTATCCAAAATAACCTTTTTAAAACCAGTACAAATTTGTTATCCTCTGCGCTGTCAGAGAAGAGTTAACAGACAGCTGTAGGGTTTGGTTAACTAAGTTATCCTCTAAAAGATTTCTTTTTAGAGATGAAGGTTATCCTCTGTTCAGGCAGGGAAGATTAGCATCACGTGCTAATATTTTGTGTGGTAACAAAGAAACTCACAAAATGTTTAGAAAGAATGCTAGACTGATCCCCACAACTGAAAAAGGTGGTCTCGCGACTCCTTTGTGGCCAGATAGCGAATTCAAATCACTGTTAGGAGTGCAAAGGAACCTAATAGTCACTGAGAAAGTTAGACAAGAACTAACTCAGAAATATGAGATCCATCCTGACAAGACTTGGTCTGTAGATGAGTGTAAAAAGGTACTAGGAGCATGTATTCGCAAGAACAAT